TCTGTACAGTTTGACGCATCTTTTCTCCAAACTAGACGAGGCGGATATTTATAGCAGCATGTTGAGCTGCTTCTGTGATGCTTCGCAGGCTTTGTTTAAAGAGGACGCGATTAAGTTCAGCAACTGTGCTGAGTGTGAACGCAACGCGGCTGCTGCTTGTTTCGGTTAGGACTTCACAACGTCAGCCTCTTTTCGTCAGCCATTTGATCCAAGAAGCTTCGCTGTTCTGTCGGATATAGTCCGTTTTAAGACTGTTTTAATGAAACAAGTCCACTGCGGTCATAAAAACTAAACACTGAGAGATGTGAGCTGTTAAAAAGTTGCTTAGGTTTAATGAAGAGGTTGTAATCTAATTTGAATTCAATGAACAGATGTTCAGCTATTCCTCCGCTTCCTTTACTGATGATGGCAATAAATGTAGTTGATGGTAGCTTTGGAGGAGAGGCTGTCTGAATTAGAAGCTCGGTTCCACGCTGGTAAAGAACCATTAGCTAGGTACCCATAGGCAGCGCGGAGCCATTGAGACCAGCTCCCGTTCATGGTCTTCCAGCAGACCCCGAGCAGCTGGGATCCCAGGGCGACAGTCTGGAGTCCATCCAGGGCCGCTTTCCACCACCTGCGTAATATCACCATAACTAGAAGCATCTTGCCCAGAAATGATGTAGAAAACTGTTCCATGCATTTGTCACGTCCAGGCTGGACTGTTGCAATGGTTTACTGTCTGGGTGTGCAAACAAATCTTTAAAAAGTCTTCAGTTAATCCAAAATGCTGCTGCCAGAATCTTAATGACATCATATATCTCCAGTTGTAGCTTCTCTCCATTGGCTCCCTGTCAAATTCAGAGCTGAATTCAAAATCTTACTTCTAACCTACAAAGCTCTCAACAACCTAGCTCCACCTTATATTACACATCTTATTGTTCCATATTGTCCCAACAGAGCACTTCGCTCTCAGACTGCAGGTTTACTCGTGGTTCCTAGAGTTTCCAAAAGTAGAATGGGAGGAAGATCTTTCAGTTATCAGGCTCCTCTCTTGAAGGAAGTGAGAAGTGAAGATTTACATCAATCTGCTGGCCTCCTTGGATAGATAACTTTTACTGATGGGCTTTTATAATGGACGGCAGTGGTCCCCAACCACCGGGCCGCAGACCGGTACCGGGTCGTGGGTCAATTTATACTGGCCGAACAGAGAGAAAAGAAAAAAAAACCTTTTATTTTGAAAAATCACCGGATTATCTCCAGCACATGTGTCAACGAGTCACTCTTGACGCAGGTCAACATACACAAGTGGTAAGTTTCAGTTTCTGTCAGACGCATGCGCAGTTTGCTTCTATTGCTCGTTCAGGTGGAGTAATTCAGCTGCGTGGTCTGGAGCAGACAGGAGGTGCACGGCCGTACCTGCGCGTTTAAAGGATCACTGCATATTTTTCAACCCGCCTGACAAAGAGTGACCGTAAAACTATTAACTAAATAAAGCTATAATTTGAAAGCTTCCTAACATCACATCAGAGCTGGTTTTGTCTTGAACTTTTTTTTTTGAATTCACATCAGAGCTGTTCCTTTACATTTCTGCTTCTCCTCTTAAAATAAAATCTCCGCCCCTAAAAGTCATGGGTAATTTTATTAAAAAACACAAATATAAAGTTTTGCACTATGCAAAAGTTCCTGTGCTTTTGTGAACAACCTGGTGTGTGAATCACTGCGGAGCAGGGAGGAGCATGACGAGGCTCAGCTGACCCCGGTGTGGGATCTACTAATTAAATGAGAAATGATCCTGCGCTTAATACACTTATAAATCACACGTAAAGTGATTAAAAGTCAATTTGAAATACAGGTGCTGGTCATAAAATTAGAATATTGTGAAAAAGTTTATTTATTTCAGTAATTCCATTCAAAACGTAAAATTTGTATATTCATTTGTTACACACTGACTGATATATTTCAAATGTTTGTTTATTGTAATGTTGATGTTCATAACTGACATTTAAGCAAGTGACATATCAGCAAATTCACTTTGTCCTGAAGTGAACGCCCCTTACCTGCAGAGCTGCAGCGGTGTTGCAGTACGAACGCTTTGCAGTCATTTCAAAGAGTTTACATCTTTAGTTTCATGTTAATCTACTGTAATAAACCTTTGTAAAATACACCAGAATGCAGGAAATGACATCTACTTTATCCAAGTTTCTCTGGGGTAGGATCCTCAGACTCCGCCCCCCACCCCCCGGTCCGTGAAAATATAGTCTAACATTAAACCGGTCCATGGCGCAGTAAAGGTTGGGGACCACTGATGTACATGAATGTTTTATTACAGTGACCTGAGAGGACTTCTGTTGTGATTTGGCGCTATATTAATAAACTGAATTGAATGAACAGAAGAAGTCACGACTCCTCAGTACTGCTCAGATTTGATGGTTTATTTAGTTCATGCATCTTCATCATGTCTTGTTTTTGTTCTTTGTTTTTAGCGAGTCACATCGGTTCTTCTCCTGAACATTTCATCGTACTGTTGATCTTGTGTTAACCTGCATATGACAAATAAACAACGTAACGTTTAACACATAAAAGAACTACAGGCACAGAGAATGTTGCAGTCATTCCTGCCATTTGCAATTTCCCTTTATAACTGCTCATATCTGTCTAACAGATGAACATCAGTCAACTTAAACCTGCGACCAGCTGTGGTAAAAATATCATGTACAGTATAGACAGCCATCATAGCACAGCGGTGCAGTAAATATGTAAATTATCTACATCCTACCTGCAGTAAATTGTTCTTTCTTTCCACTCAACAGGTAATGTATTATAATGATTTTTTTTTACTGCTTGTCTGCTGCTGTAATTAACCAATTTCCTTCAGGTGATCAATAAAGAATCTGTATAAGAGCTGCAGCTCATTCAGATGGTGTTGGATAATGTGGAAACTTTATTTTTTAATAATTTATACAATGAAATAAAATACATTAGAAAAGTCTATGGTAGCTTTAAGGTGGAGGTGAGAATGATTTGAGCCCCTTCTCGTTTGCTCTGGTGATGGACCGAATAACAGATGAGGTCAGGCGGGAATCCCCGTGGACTATGATGTTTGCAGATGACAATGTGATCTGTGGTGGGAACAGGTGGAAGAGAACTTGGAGAGGTGGAGGTATGCACTTGAAAGAAAATGAATGAAAGACAATCTTTTTTTTTTTTTTTTCCTCACAGGCTCTCATTGAGGTGGCAGCTTCTGTTTCTCCTCCCCCGTTTTCCTTCTTCCTGCTCTGCTCTCTGTGTGTCTGAAGCGCCTGGGTCTCATCTCCCGAACATAAATTAAGCAGATTATGGATTTGGTATCGTGGGCGTTCAACTCTATTGATAAGATTTTTTTCATCAAAACGACAAGTTCCTGGGGAACCGGCGTGTCCAGCTGAGACTCACGCTGTGGGGTACGTCATGGATTCGTGGGGAGTGTGGCAGTTGATGTGCGTTACAGTCCTGTCTCAGGAGGATGTTGAAGACGTTTACATATTTGGATTTATGATAGCAGGGACTCTGCTTTTTGGCATCGGCGGGGCTCTGTGTTATCGACTTTTGAAGAAGACAGCGGGAGCAGTTTTGGCCATGGAAAAGCTCCCGAGTCAGTGTGAAGGTCTGGTCCTCTCTGTCGTCTGGTCTACGAGCTTAACCGTAAGGTGGAGGCGATTGAGAATCGCAGACCACCTGCGGCTTCTGGGACTCGTCAGCGTGGTGGGTTCGACCTTGAAGGAGACTCATAGTATGGATCAGTGGAATGGAATCCCACAATTAGGCATTTTCGGAACCAGAACGCCCAGATGGACTCGAGGCTGAAGAAAAAGTAATCTGTCTGCCTGAAGAAAAACAAGAATCAAGCTTATCTGAATCAGACTCCCAACGGCCTCGGAGACAGGCCGACTATCAAATTTCTCCTGGGACATGAGTACCCAAGGACAAAAGCTTCTTCTATCGCACCCTCCCCGAGAACTTTCTGTGCAAGCTTATCAGAGCTGCTGGCTGGAACAACATCTTCAGAAACTGTGGCTGATCTGAACAAACGCTCATGGACAAATCTCAACACCTCGATGTCAAATGCAAATGTAATCATGTTTTAATTGTGCTTGCTGGTAGAGTTTTTTGATGTCTCAAATTGTGTCCTGATAGACGAGACGTGAAAGATCTTTTTTTGTAATACCACCATCTACCCTCATGTTTCTCCCCCTTTTCATATCTAAGATTATTATCTGATAAGGATAAAATGGCCGCGCTCTCCTGTAGTTGCAGCTTCGTGCACTCCGCCCATTTTTCGGACGACTGTACGTACATATTCGCGTTGTACCTTGGTACAATTCCAATAAAGTTTATTCTGATTCTGATCATGTGCACATGATATCGGAAGATCTTGTGTGATGTGGTCCAGCTCATAGTATAATTTGTGGGCGACTCTCAGCTACCACCACACCAAATCTTAGCGCAGTATGTGTAAAATGACTGACTGAGCTGTAGACGTATATGAAGTAATGATTACTTAGTGAGAATTTCATCAAAGTACATGCAGTATTTTATGATATTTCGCCAACAGACAGGCAATTGTACACAGACGAGAGCAAAAACATTTTACAACAGGTTGGATTCTTCAGAGGTACAGGAAGTTAACCAGAGTAAGCAGCAGATTTTTTTATATTCTTTCAGAACCAATGAAATCATCTTGTGTTGCTGCAGCAGACTGATCCGCCCGGCAACACAAGCGTTCAGATCACAGGGCAGCTTTGGTTTGACTTCAGCCATGTGACCGCAGACAGAGTAATAGATTTGATTTAATGCGTCTTCAGTCTAAACAAGTTACGTCCACTGCACTTTCACTGTTTTATGACCAGTCTGAAGCTGAGCTGTAATTTTTCGGCTGTTGCTCATCCAGTCAGCAGAACTGTACTGACACCACATGCTGTGAAAACACAACAGTTTGTTCCTCCTAAACCTCGCTGTATGTTCTTTTCTTCTGTTTTCAGGGTGGTGAAGGAGGAAATTTCTGACGACGGTGCCAAGTTGCCTTGTTTTAACGGCAGAGTGGTGTCATGGGTAAGATTCTTTTAAAGATGCTGCATTTTTATTTATTTTAATGAAACCAGCTCAAAGTGTTCATTCGGTCTACGTCTACACCTGATTGACCTTTGGAGTTAAACAAACACAAAACAACCACCAGAGCTAAGTAACTTCAGCAAACACAAAAATGGCTCTAACTCAGTCATTTTTACATTGAGCTACAATTTGTTGTGTTAGTACACAACCACATGTTTACACATGCAAATTGTTCATGATCGTTGATGAAAACTTTGGCATTAATAGTGTGAATGTATATGAAGCATTCACACTATTGTGATCCTTTTTTTTTTTTTTTTGTACATTTTTCGACATCTTTCTTGTGCCACAATTTTTGTGCTATTTCAACAAATCATAAATCAAAACGTTCAGCTCTTTCAGGAGAAGGGTGCTAAGACTTTTGGTATTGGTGCAACTTTAGCTTTTTGAAATATTTACCCTTTTCTGTCATTTTTTCCTCATAGAAAATGAATTGAGCTCATTTTACATCCTTCAAATCTTTAGATCTGTTTACATCCTTTTACTGCTCCTTTCTCATTTCATTCTGGTTTAGCTTTTTTCAGCTTCGTTGTGTGAATTTAAACCTTTTCAGCTAATTTCAGCCTTTTTTTTCCAGCTGTTTTGTGCTACTTTCAGATTCTTTGTGCTAACTATAACATGTTTGTGTTTCTTCTAACTTCTTTCTGCTAATTTCAGCTTATGCTCCTTTCAGCTTATTTCTGCTAGTTTCAGGTTTTCCTACTATTTCAGCCACTATTTAGCAGGTTTTATTCTAATTTTAGCCTTTTCAGCTAACTCCACAGTTTTTGCACTCATTTCAACTTTTTTCAGCCCAATTCAGAAACAAATGTGCTCTTTCCACTTCCTTGTAATTTAAGCTTCTTTCTGCTTTTTAGCTACTTTTCAGCTGTTTTGCTAATTTCAGCATTTTTTTTCAGATATTCGCTTTTTTTTTTTTTTTGCTTCTTTAAACCTAATTTGGCAAACGTGTTTTTCTGCTTTCTTCTGCTAATTTAAGCTTGTTGTACTTTTTTTAGCCGTTTTCAGTTAAATTCACATTTATCATGGTAATTTCTGCTGATTTCAGCTTAATTAACTTTCTCTGCTTATTTCAGCTTATTCAGCTAGTTTCAGCTATTTCATCTACTATTTAGCTGTTTTACTCTAATTTTACCCTTTTCATCTAATTCCACATTTTTGCACTCATTTCAACTTTTTTCAGCCTAATTCAACAAAAATGTGCTCTCTCCACTTCCTTGTCATTTTAGCTTCTTTCTGCTTTTTAGCTACTTTTCAGCTGTTTTTTGCTCATTTCTGCTTCTTTCAACCTAATTTGGCAAACGTGTTTTTCCTGCTTTTTTTCTGCTAATTTAAGCTTGTTCTAACTTTTCAGCTTTTAAAAAAAAAAATATATATATATAGCTATTTTTGGCTCTTTTCAGATAAATTCACATTTTTCATGGAATTTTCTGCTGCTCTCAGCCAAATTAACTTTTCTTTGCTAGTTTCAGCTTGTTATGCTCCTTTCATCTTAAATTTGCTAGTTTAAGCTATTTCAGCTACTATTTAGCCGTTTTTATGCAAATTTTAACCTTTTCAGCTAATTCCACATTGTTTTAGTTCATTTCAGCTCTTTCTGCTTCCTTCTGGTAGTTTGTTTCTTTTTGCCTTTCAGCTACTTTTCAGCCATTTTTGTTGTTGCTAATTTCAGCTTCTTCTTTTTTTTAGCTACTTTCCAAATTTTTCTGCTAATTTCAGATTATTTATATCTGTTTCAGCAAATATGCGCTTTTTCTAGAAATCTAGTTACTTTAGAGTTTGGACTGGAGGGCATGCAGTCAGAGGGGTTGGCGAATGGCGGCGCTAGGATACTGAGGAACTTCCAGACTGACAAACAGCTGACACTAACCGACAAACAAGAGATGAAGGCAGTGGTGATGGATGTAGCAGTCCCAAGTGACTGTAACACAATAAAGAAAGAGCTTGAGAAGCTCGAGAAATACCAGAGGGCTGAAAGAGGAAATGTAGAAGATGTGGAGTCAATGCTTCAGTAGTTCCAGTGGTCATAGGAGCACTTGGTGAACAGACCCCTGGAACAACCTCCATGATCTCTGTCCAGAAGAGCGCAGCTACGATACTGAACAGAACCCTCAGGTGTCCAGGCCTCTGGTAAAGAACCTGAGTTTGGAGTGAAGTGGAACAGCCCATGTGGTGAAATATAAATGGGGTGAGCTGGATGTTCATCCTTCTCTGCCTGACTAGGCTTTTGATAGTCATCAGCCTCAACATCTACTTTGTCAGATTAGCGGCCTAATCTGGATTGCCCTCATCAAGTAAGCAAGATGCTTTAAAAAAGTTTCTGCTAGGGTTATGTGTAGTCAAGCAGTGGAGCAATAAAGCACCGTGACCTTTATGTGTACTGTCACTTATATAACGGAACTGCAGGATCTGAGTTGTATTTGAAAGTCGTTTGATTTCACTTAAGGCTGCAGATTCTTGATCAAACCTGATAAATGCGCTCTACTGCACGAGTTTGTGATGGAAAATGTGGAGCAGAAACGCTTGATATTTGCCAATCGGACCATAAGGGAAGCGGTACGGGTTGTCGAGGTTTAACCCGGGCTTGTTAGCAGTTACAGTACCGCGAGACGCCTGATACACGTTTTCCATTTCTCCACAGCTGTTGGCCTCCACCCTTCAGGTTTAAATGGAGAGAAAAAAACACACTAGAACTTGGCCTGGACAAGCAGGTCTGTGGCATCTGTTAAAGGCATCAAAGTGGTGGTGGTGGGGGGGGGGGCACTTTAAAATGAAGGGGAGCAAAACTCCGAGACCAGAGGAACTGCGATTTGATCCGCACGTCGAGACTGATCGACGGATCCCAGAAGACGAGGGATTCAGAGGAATTAGTGAAGGAGAGCTCGGTAAAGGTTACAAAACGTCCGTCCGTACGGGAAGTCATTTATAGCATCGATTCCGAAGTTGCGAGCCCGATACGAAGTATAGAATGTAAAAATGTATGCATGAACATAATCAAGGGCTCTCCAGTGAAATGATGTGGACACATCTGGATTTAAACGTCAGGTTTTAAAATTCTTGGGTTTTATTCTCTTATTTTTCCGTCTCAATCCCTTCATGTCTACTTTTGTTATTTGACGCTGTATGGCAGTAATCCTAATTGTTGTGCTCTTTGTGTGTGTGTGTGTGTGTGTGTGTTTCAGATTACATTGTGGGGACCAATTTTCTAAAAAAACGTATACTGTGGGGACCAAAGCCAGGTTCCTAAAAGGATAAGTCTCGTTGGAGGGGAGGTGGGGGCTAGGGGTTAGGTTTACTATTAGTTGCCTAGTACTAGTTTACTATTACTAGTACTAGTTTACCATTACTAGTACTAGGCATGTACTAGTAAGGGCTAGGCTGTTGAAAAGGAATACAATGCAAAGTCCCCAAAAAGTATGTTTACAAGAACGTGTGTGTGTGTGTGGCCAGTTTTGCGCTGTAATGAAGAGAGACGGGTTAAGTGTGGGGATAGTGTTTCACTTTGCCCGTGAGACGTTTGTCTGAAAAGAGTCGACTGTTTGTGTCAAAGTAATTGACGTGTTACTCGTTTTTCTTCCTGCTTTCTCAGCCTTTCCTCCCTTTGCCCACTTCTGTTTTTTTTTTTTTCTTCTTCTTCCTTATACATATTCTCCCAAATGTAACTTTTTATTCCATCTTTTAGTCTTGATCTGATTTTCTTATCAGTTTTCCTTCATGTTTGTTGTTTTTGCTAGCTGGTATCCTCAGAGACTCCAGCTGCAGAGCCTCCAGTTGCAGTGGTCCCCCCTGTGGAAACCACCACCCAGCCTTCACCACCTCCACCACCCCTGCCACCCCCTCCTGCAGAGAGAACCGGGGGCATCGGGGACTCCAGGCCACCCTCCTTCCAGTAAGCAAAGCACACGAGCTCATGTAAAACATTTCCTGATCTCCTCGGACCTCCTTGTCTTAAACTTTAAAGCTTGACCTTCTCCTTTCTTCTAGTTTTTACGCAGAAACTCTTTTCTTGAACGCCTCACACCCAGTTATTGAGTTCCTGTAAGAACCCTGCAGATCGTCTGTAACTGAGCTGAACCGGAGCCGCCCTGTTCCTTACCGGATGAAAGGCTCCCAATTTTAATGAGCTTAGTTTACAAAATAATTGAAAAATATAACTTTTACTTTAAATTATGAACACATCACAAACTTTGCCATGTAGAAATTAATTCAGTAGTCCCTCGTTTATTGTGCAATAAGTGAAAATCTGAGAAGTAGCAATGTTAAATTTATTTTAGTATTTATATGTATACAGTAGTCCCTCGCTACTTCACAGTTTATTTATCACGGACTCCCTCTATCTCAGTTTTTCAAAGTAAGACTGGACATGACACACAACTGGCTGATTGATGGATGAGTCGCATGATCGGCATGAAATTTTTATTTAAAATAAGTTATTTTAAATTATTTAGCACCTCCTGCCCATCGCGAGGCCCATACTGCAGGATAAACTTCCCACTGCAGCTGATCAGCTGTTGAGCATGCAGAGCTGAGAAGTGGGCGTGGCCAAGAGTGCTTGCAGGTGGCAGAGAGCTGTATTCATGCCATTCTACAAATGTTATGTATTGTCATCATTATATGTTTCCATACAATGGCGAAATTGGCTCCCTGCATTTAACCCATCCACCACCAGGTGGAGCAGTGGGCAGCTACTGAAAGCGCCCAGGGAGTATTAGGGATTGGGTGTTTTGCTCAGAGACACCATAAGATGTGCAATGACTGGGTATTGAACCTGGGACTTTCAGGTCCCGAGTCGGCTGCCCTGCCTCTACATCATCTCGGCCCCCTTACTTATTCTGTGCTCTTTTAAATTCAATTCAATTCAGTTTATTTATATAGCGCCAAATCACAACGAAGTTGTCTCAGAGCACTTTACAGAAACATTCACATACATAAAGCCAATTAATGAAGTTCTCTATCTAAGGAGGCCAGCAGACAAGTTGAAGCTTGGCTTTAGAGAGTTTAGAGTTTAGAAACATTTTTTAGAATATTGCAAGAGTATGGAAAGGGGTTAAAATGCTTTTATACTACTTACTACTTCTACTACTATTCCTACTTGGCGGTTTTTCGCTTATTGCAGGTCTTCAGGGTACGGCTCCCCCACGATAAACGAAGGACTACTGTATTTTAAGGCTTTATAAACCCTTCTTACTCTTGCAATGTTCTAAACTCTTAAACCTACATCATTTTAACAACATACATACAGTACAGCAGCTAAATTTTACTCACCAGCTTTGCAGAATGGCAGCGGCTCTGTTCCGGTCTGACTCTTGTTTTGTTTCTGCAACGACGAGCGAATGTTGAACTCTTAAACCTACTAATTTTAACAACATACTTATATGTAGCTAATAAATTTTACTTACCAGCGAGTCCCCGCTTGGAGGTCCTTGTTGGCCAGTTGAAAAAGATGAAAAAAGTCCTGTTGGGCTCCGCATGGAGCACCGGACATTTGGCAGCGCATCCTACTCGGAAGTCCTCATGGACCGGCTACCATTTCTCAAGATTCACCGATGGGTCTAGAGGTCCAGTTCTGCTCTGGTTCAGTGGGTTTCATGCAGCTCTCTGCGTCCGCTGGGCGCCGAAGTCACTGTAATAAGCGCCAAACTTTTTCCAATCGGATCAAAACGTTCCCTCTAGTATTTCAGCAGAAGGCAACGGGGCTTCTGGGCGGGGCACTGTTGGCTTCTGGGAAATGTAGTCATTATGAGTGGCAATGCAGTGTAGGCTTATTGAGAGAAAACTACAAAATGGCGGTGCCTGTCCCAAGTATTTTATTTTTCATTAACTTTTTACTGTACAGTATCCAGCACCAAAAACATTTAGGTTTACTTGTATTCCCTGTTGAGCTCCAGTCCAGAAAAGCACTCGTCTTGAAAATCATGAGCAGTATCGTTGTACAGTCTCCAAAAACATCTGGGTCAACAGCAGCTAAAAGTGCCACTGCAGCTTGGCTTTTACTTTATTAAGTGTTTGATAGAGCTGCAGAGTTTGTATTAAGAAAATTGTCATTATTGCAACATTGCAAAAGATTGTCTGTGTAAAATAATCCAAACCCTGAAGGATGGATCCAGTTTGGATATGATTTGGTCCACATGCAGACCCGTGTTTGAGAGGTGACAAAGGTGGAGTGGAGTCATTTGAATAATTTAATTTAATTTGATGACTGATGGTCGTCAAGACACAGATGATGCCTCGTCGATGCATTCAACCAGAACTTGACAGTTCATTGTGAATTTGCTTGAGTCCGGGTGGCTGTATGATGCAGTTGCCCACTGCGGGGTGTATACAGATGTTACTATGGTCCAGTGTTGGAACAATGGTTGTAGGCACCCACAAACATTGTGAAGGTTTCAATCACCCAAGACGGACGTCGCCATGTTTGTCAAGCCCTGGAGAACCCCACGACATCTGCGCCTGCCATCGGCACTCAGGTTGTGGACTCTTTGCGGCACCCTGTGTCAACCCGCACTTTGTCTTAATAACTGTCATCAGCTAGACTGCAGGTTCACCGCCCAATGTGTTGGTTGCCGTTAACACCAGGGTTTGGAGCGGTGCTGTAACCAGACGGTGTGAATCGATAAGTGGGATCACATTTAAAGATCAATATTTGTTCTGAGTTATCGTTGTGTGTGCGTATGACAGGGTAGCAACAGTCCTGCGGTGTTGTGTAGAGACACACCAGTGTTGCTCTTGGTATCGTGCGGGAACCATCGTTTTTGATGTCACGTCACGTCTGGTAGTGATTCTTGGGGCTCTGTTGGCACCGTTCATCCTGCCTCTGCATGTCTTCCTCCTTTTGGACTTCACCTTGGTACCAGCTTTCAGCCAGACAGCACCTGTCCGCACGTTTTCCTACGGACTATCTGCGTCATATTGAGGTCCTCCTGAGGTCCTCCTGAGGTTAGCCAGTTTCCCTGATGTTTCCTTATTTGTGTGGGAGCAGCACAGACGTCAGTGCCAGATGTTGAGGGCCCGTTCCAACAGCTGTGTACCGACTTGCTGCAGGAGAAGATCCAACTTTGTGACTTTGTTCTGAACTAAATTACTCGTATGACTGAACAGAAGAGGATGTGAGTTGTTGCACATTGTATCGTCATGGTGATCTTGTGTTTTTTTTGCATTAGCAGCTGCAGATTCAGTCAGTAAAAATTCTCACGAGCCTTGAAGCTGAACATTGTTAGTGATGTTTTCTGACAAAACTGAGCTGACAAGTCCAAATCCCTGAGCTAAACGTGACCGCAAGTTTGCTTTATTCTCTGATTTTTTTTTTCCCCAAAGTATTTCCCACATTCAGTGAGTTTTGTAGCGGCTGTGAAACTGAAGATTTCCACTTGAAACGGATTTAACACTTTAATCTCAAATATTAGGAAACTATTGATATACAGAGATCAAACGGATTAGTTCTGATGTTTGTAATCTTTATTGCAAGATTCAAATTTCATTTGACAAGTCGTGGATATTTTGCAAGGATCTAGGCATGTCGGTATTGCTCTGCATCCAAACCAAAGTAAATACAGTAGCCCCTCGTTTATTGCGGGGGCTACATTCCAAATCCCCCACCATAAGTGAAAAACTGCAAAATAGGGACGATATATTTAGTTTAGTATTTATATATTTTAAGGCTTTATAAATCTGTTCTAAACTCTTAAACCTACATCATTTTAACAACATACATATATGTACTGTACCGTACTGCAACATTTTACTCATCAGGTCTGCAGAAACAGCAGCTTGGTTCCGGTCTGGCAGACCTATCCTGCGAGTTCTGCACCTGTTCTGGTCCAGCTCTGTTCAGCTCTTGAGCGCCAAACGCATTTGGGAGGAATTGGATTACAGGACCGGTGGTCCGCTTGAGTGGTCCGATAGAGGGATGAAAAAGTCCCGGTGGGCTCTGGAGAGAGGCCGGACCTACGGCGACGCGTCCCCGCTTGGAGGTCCTCGTGGGCCGCCTAGCAGCTCTCTGATTCGCCGATGGGTCTGGAGGTCTGGTTCTGCTCCGGTTCTGGTCCAGTTCCCGTTGGGTTCCGTACGGTTCTCTGCTTCTGCTGAGCGCTGAAGCCAACGTAATAAAGACCAGAGTTTTTTGGATCAGATCAAAACTTTCACTCTACGTATTTCAGCAGAAGGCAACGGGGCTTCTGGGCGGTGCATTGTTGGCTTCCTGGAAATGCACCGAATTTTTTGCCCTATAAGTTACGTTTTTTTGCATAATTTGCATGCCTGCAACTTGTATGCCGAAGCGACATATTTATGGATTTTTTTTCCCCATATTTATAAACCAATTTATACATGATATGACCATTTTCATTCATTCTGACTGAAATATTGAACACTTATCATTTTCAGTCACTAGATGGCACCAGAGTTGTATGGCATGCCGTTGTATCGTGGAATAGGTAAAAGTGGCTATTAATGACACAATTGGCTTGCCATACAGGGTCAAATCAGCTTCATTTCACTGCACTGCCCTGGTGAAATGCAGCTAATTTGACCATTGAAGTGCATTTTTTAAGCAAAAGTTCAACTGAGACACACCTTTGCTATAATTTCGATCAAACAAATAATTGTTTTAAAGTGTTAATGAAGTTAAAGTCCTCCCGTGCATGCCCCAGCGGCTGCCATTTGACAACCAATTGAGAGGTGGGCTTGTGATCCGAAGATCGTCGGTTCACGCCCCGGCCCCGACAACATCAAAATTGTGGGTGGGGTAGGTGAAACACCCACACTTGCCCCCACCCTCATTCGCCCCACTCTGGGCCCATGAGCAAGGCCCTTAACCCCCACCATGTGCTCCCTAAACAGGTCTCTCTTGAAAATGAGTTCTCGTGGCTCAATGAGACTAACCTGGATAAATAAAGGCTAAATGAAAAAAATAATAAAATTTGATTTTTGGCACAACACCGGCCCACGTTTCTGGGTTGTCAGCAGTGACTCATAATAGATGCAACATATACGGCAAAGCAACATATTTATGGATTTTTCCACTTCATTAGACATATTTGGACTGATGTGACTTGGAGGGCGGAGCGACGATTATAGTGGAAAATACGGTAGTCGTCGTGATCAGTACAGATGCAGTGTAGGCTAATTGAGAGAAAACTACAAAATGCTAGCGCCTGTCCCAAGTATTTTATTTTTTGTTAACTTTTTACTGTACAGTATCCAGTACAGTCCCAATCACGTGAGTAATATTAAAATTGACAATCATGTGTCCTGTACATTTTTTTTTCTTCTGTACAATCTTACTTAGAAAAACCACGAAAGAGCGAGTCCACGAAGGTGGAACTGCGAAGTAGCGAGGGACTACTGTTATTGTCACTTAAACTCAATTTAAACATGAACTGGATAATTTTATGATCTTTACCCGTTGGGCAGATATTTTGCACAACACTTCCCTTTGTGTCTTTATCAGGTCTGATATAAAACGTCTCTAATCCATGAGCTGTTTGTAGGTTCTCTGTTGTGTGATCCTCTCAGGAGATTGGGTCACAGCCGCAGGACATGAATGCTTCAGCCTCAGATTGTCTCTGAGTTCACTGTAATGCGATGAGATGATATCAGGTGTTTGAGTCTTTAGGAGAAGAACTTCATTGAAGGAGCGAGTAACTGGATCATCGCCTGTAATCAAAAACTGACCGACAAGTGCCCTGTTTAAAAACAAGTGTGAAGAGCACTTCGCAGCTCAGTCAAAACTTTGTTCTCGTCACACAAGTTCACACAAACGAGACGTTGAAGTAGAAAACTGTACGGGCTTATTTTAATTGAAAGGAACACTGATGTTACAAAGTTCATTTTTTAAATTGATACTGAAAACTTCAATGAATCAAACTTTAAATACGCTTTTATTAGAGGCGCGCCCTGATATACAGTTGTTCTGCTTTCGTCCCAGTTTTTGATCTGCAACTCATGGAATGAGCAAAACACATCAGATTTTTTTTTTTTTAATTTAACCTTTATTTCTACAGGTAGTCTCACTGAGTCATGAGGACTCATTCTTAAGAGAGACCAGTTTGGGAGCAGATGGTGGGGGTTAAGGACCTTGCTTAGGGGCCCAGAATGGGGCATTGAGGGTGGAGGCAGGTGTGGGTGTTTCACCTTTTCCGCCCACATTTTGATGTTGTTGGTCCGGGGAGTCAAACCGGTGACCTTCTTATCACAGGCCCACCTTATCTAACCTCTGCACCACCACACCCCACCATGGGTGTTGGTACACCAGTGTTTCCTCTGCTCTGTTGGCGTGATGGTTTTTTTTTGTTTGTTTGTTTAGTCGGGGGTGCCGTGGTCACATCTGTGTGCCCGCCTGCTAGCTTAGTGCTACATTGCTACCGGTAATTATCGACCCGGGGGGTGGGGGTGGGGGGGTGTAGCGGAGAGGTACGTCAGTCGCACTTTTGCTAACGTGTTTGTATTGCGCCTCATGCTACATCAATACGGCCAACAGTTTTTGAGGGGGGGGGGGGGGGGGGTCGGTAGACAGAACGCTTGATTCCATTGAGGGGGTGGGGTGCCCCACTTGTATATTGCTGGGGGAGACACTGGTACACCCAGAATGTGCTGTTTCACCGCCGAGTGTTTTGTGTAGTTTTTCTCACAGCAGCTTGTCTAAGGCTTACTTTCTGCTCTGCTTATTTGTCTGCCTGTCTTTGTAGTGATGGGCACAGGTATGTGTTACCATGGTGACCCGAATGAGCCACAGGGAGTGGCTTTAACGTTCATCTTCTTTTAACACATCTTGCGCAGTTTATACATAAAAACGTTGCTTTTTTTTTTTTTTAACAGAAAATTACAACAGTAAGTCCTAATTTTCATCTTTGTAGTAGAAAGTTGGTGATTGTTGAAGTTTCAGGCAGAAGCTGAATTTGGCACTCGTCAAAACGTTTTCACTGATGCTCCTAGCTGCGTTTGTGATTCTGTTTTTGGGCTTGTTTGTTTTTCCAGCCCCAATGCAGCGGGCAGCGTGGAGACTCTGGACGATCAGACCGAAACCGAGTCCGTAGTTTCCTTCAGGAGGGAGAGGCCTCGGCACAGAGAGAACACGGATCCGCACGGTGAGAAACGGCACATCTCCGCACTCATGGAAACAATCCCGTTATCATGGCCGCCCTATCAAGATTTGGCACGCCTCCATCATCCAAACACTGACCGATACGATCAGGGAACCTCAAAGTCTGGAATGTTGTGCTGAGAAAAACAAACTTTCCTCTGAATGTTTTTGTTTTCTGTTGTGTTGAAGGGCCTCGCGTGAACGGTCAGAGCCGTCTGGAGCGCCACCTGGCGGGATACGAGAGCTCCAGTACAGTGATGAGCAGCGAGCTGGAAACCACCAGTTTCTGTGACTCTGACGACGACGACACCATGAGCAGGTGGAAACAAAACGTCTGAGAGACCAGTTTAGACAATTTACAGGAAGAATGTGAGATCTGCTAGTTTTCCTAATCCATCCTACGATTTATTTTTTCATCCCAATCCTTAACTAGAGAAACTGCATTTCCAGCAAAAATGCAGTGTGAATGCTTATTGCAGAAGAACTTACTGAGAAACAGCTGAAAGTAGTAAAAAAAAAATCAAAAATCAAAATGCTGAAATAGAAGAACAAGCCTAAATTAGCAGAAGAAAGCAGAAAGAACACATATTTGCTGAATTATGTTTAAATAAGGAGAAATTAACAGAAAAAATGGTAAAGTAGCTTAAAAAGAAATTGAAATTACAACAAAAAATGGCTGAAAAGCAGCTGAAAGGCAGAAAGAAGCTTAAACTACCAGAAGGAAGTGGAAAGAGCTGACATAAGCTAAAAAAAATATGGAATTAGCTGAAAAAGCTAAAATTAGCATAAAACAGCTAATTAGTAGCTAAAATAGCTGAAACTAGCATCATTAAGCAGAAAGGAGCATAAAGGTGAAATTAACAGATAAATGTTATATACACTGAAAGTAGTAGAAATTACCATGAAAAACTTAAAATAATCTGAAAACAGCCGAAAACGTAGCTGAAAATGTAGAACAAGCTTATATTATCAGCAGAAAGAACATATTTGCCCAGTTATATTGAAAGAAGCAGAAATGAGCAGAAAAAAAGGGGAAATTGTTTAAAAAAAATGCTGAAATTAGCAAAAAAAAACACAGCTGAATAGTAGCTAAAAACACAGAAAAAAGCTTAAATTACCAGAAGGAAGAGGAGAGAGCACATTTTTTGCTGAATTAAGCTGAAAAAAGTTTAAATTAGTGCAAAAAACTGTGGAATTAGCTGAAAAGGCTAAAATTAGCATAAAACAGCTAAATAGTAGCTGAAATACTATAGAAAGCTGAAACTAGCAGAAATAAGCTGAAAATAACACAGAGCCGAAATTAATAGGAAGAAGTTCGAAGAAGCACAAAAATATTGTAGTTAGCTGAAAGAATCTGAAAGAAGCACAAAACGGCTGCAAAATAGCTGAAAGTGGCTGGAAAATAAAGTTTAAATTTGCTGAAAGAAGCTGAAGCAGAAGAAAATGTGAAAGGAGCAGTAAAAGGTTGTAAACACATCTAAAGATTTGAAGGATGGAAAATGAGCTCATTTCATTTTCTCTGAGAAAAAAAAAAACTGTCAGAAAAGGCTAAATATTTCAAAACGCTAAAGTTGCACCAAAAGTCATCTCAGGATTGTCCTGAACGTTTTGATTTATGATTTGTTGAAAGAGCACGAAAACTGTGGAACGAGAAAGATGCTGAAAAATGTACAGAAGAAAACTGAATCATAATAGAGTGAATGCTTCATAAACATTCACACAATAAACCATGAAGAAGATGAGAGCATTAATTTACACAAGAAGAACAGGAACTCTATAGAGATTAATATTTTGTTTGTGAGTGCGTCAGGTCAGCAGATAACATTTAAAGAAATTACAAAATATTATTTGTAATGCCCCAAATTAAAAAAACAAACATCAGCGCATTGATCATCTCAAGCCTCACGGATCAAAATGCTAAATAGTCAACGAGAGCCTCTGTAATAAGACAGATTTCCCTCCTGTAACTTTTATTAAAGTCGGCGTTCTTTGAAGGAATTCCTGTCGCCTGCTGCGCTGCAGGTTTTAAACAAAGTTCTGTAACGAGACCTCTTGGTCCTGCAGGTTCAGCAGCGCGACGGAGCAGAGCACCGCATCTAGGCTTCTTAAACGCCACCGTCGACGGAGGAAACAGCGCCCGCCTCGTCTGGAGAGAGTACGCACGAACACCTCCGGCAGCCGTTTCATTCTGAGCTTTGAAAAAACGTGTTCATTTAAAATTTTATTCTTATTTCCAGGCTTCGTCCTTCAGCAGCGTGACGGACTCCACCATGTCTCTGAACATCATCACTATCACCCTCAACATGGGTCTGTCACTAATTATTGCTAATTAGCTTACAAATCAGTGCTACAGTGTAGATCAGCGATTGTCAACTGGTGGCCCATGGGCTATATCTGATCTGTCGTCTCGTTTTATTCAATCCGTGAAATATTTAGTAATTAAATTTCACACAATGTTACAGAGGGATGTTACAACAGCTGCATCTTAGCCAATCAGAGTGCTCGCTCACGTGTGACTCGGATGTGGGAAAAGGCAACGCTGAGAGGACAGAGTCCTAATCTGAGTCCCGCATGCTTTAACCCTGAAATGATGCCGGCTCATTAAACCGTATGTAGTGACGAGTTAAATGATGCAGTGAAAGAAATCCTAAAAAGCTGGACCAGTAGCCGCACACTGGAGCTAATGGGTTCAAACAAGTGGCATGAAGCTAACAGTGTTAGCATCGACGAGCTGAGTTGGTTTTCTGGTGGGAGCAGGAGTTCACTGCAGTTTGGTACCTGCTCAAGTAACTGCTTTATGTTCTTTTTAAGTTGGGACATGTTTTTTGGAAACCCTGCTTCCTCTTGGTGTTTAATGTTCAATTCAAAACTCCCATCTTAAGTTCAAGTTTAATAATTGTTATTGTCCCCTAAGGGGCAATTTGTTTTCACAGTCAGTAGGCACAAAAAAACATCCGTACTAGACAAGACATTAGCTGTTTACATGGACATAAGTAATCGGATTAAACGGCCATTCAGAATAAAAATGCGTCATGTAAACGCCCCATTCGGATTACTCTTTGTTGATTCAGCTCGATCCGAAAGAATTTGTAATGAGAATGAGACGGGTGGGTTGTGCCGATTCATAATCCGAACGGTGCGCATGTAAACACTTAATCTGTTCTTTTTATTCCGATTGTAGAAAACGTACCTGACTGCGCATGTGCGACCTATGTCTACCTCACGTATTTCCACCTGACTAATGCTAATATGTCAGGGGAGCAAAACTGGTCGGTGAGCGACGCAACATTTCTACTAGAAACTTTGAAAGAGCTCAAAATGATCTGTATCACCTGTAGCTCAGTCAGGGAGTGCAGTAACGTCTCCACCATCATTAAAACCTGTCGCGGGTCCATTTGGGCGCTCAGGTTTGTTTACGTCCATCATGGAAGTAGAACGGAAGTAAAACTTCTTCTTCTGAGTTTTTAAGGAGAGTTTACCACTCTGCGCATGTCAGTACTTCTATTCAGAATAAAAGCCCGCTGCATGTAAACACTCGTGAACGGATTGCGCCCATGTAAACGATGCATTTGAATAATTTAATCTGAAAGCATTTCAATCTGGTCAAACAAATTTGCGCATGTAAACATAGCTAGTGTGACGTTTAAAAAACAGTACAGAAAGAAGCCTGATCTCTACAGGGAACTCACCATGGAATGGGTGATCAGGATCTGCCAGAATAAGCCTGGCCTTGTTCATTGACCTCGCCTTGTGTAGGTCAGTGAGGTTCTGCAGGGCTATGCCAGCAGTTTTGCTGCACGTCCGGACAATCCACAAGAGTTTCTTCCTGTTTTTGCATGTTAACAATCCAAACCAACAGATGAAGGTGAAAGTTAAAAGACTCAATAAAACATTCTCATAAAAGTCGACTCATTGTTAAAACCACAAAGCGTCTGATAAAAGTACATTCTCTGTTCTCGTCCCAGTCTTATTATTTCTTATGACGTTTACTTCAAAGGGGTTTTAGCATTTGTCATTCACAAGTAAAGTCTCGTTAAATTCTCAGCTTAAAAAGATAATTGTTTATCTTGAAGAAAATAGCTCTTGTAAATAGGCATGTCGCGATAAATCAATTAATCGCATGATAAATGAAAATCATCGACATTCTCATTTATCGGCTTTATCGTTTCATTGTGTCTCTTACTTTCTGCTACTAAGCTGAGAAGCTAAGCTACGAGCTAAGCTAACAGGCCAACCTCCAGAAAAAACCTCCATCTTGTCGAAGCTCCAAAATTCACGGTTGAAACTCGTGCCTTGGTGTAAAAAGTTGTTTTTCTCTGCAAAAAGAAGCTGAGAACTTGTTTACTGATTTAAAAAAAATTTTTATTAAAATCTTTTTGTGAAAAATGCTATGCTAAAGAGCGCAAACTACACCCGAGCGTCTGCCATTTTGAGAACCGAAGCGAGACAGCCCATGTCACATCAAGGGGCCTCCCTCCCATTTTTCTTAAAGAGACACGCTGCTCACTCCCTCACTATCCATCCTGCGGTTCAGTCTTATATTGCCATCCGGTGGTAGCAAAAAGTACTACATGCAAAACAAATAAAACATTTCTTCTTAAATTTGACAATAATTATGAATTATTTTCAATATTATCTTTTATCACAATAATTTCTGAGACAATTAATCGCCCAGCAAAATTTGTTATCGTGACAGGTCTACTTGTAAAGACATAAGCGAGAGCAACCATAAGTACCAAAAACACGCCCAGTCCAAGGGTGCCCTTACATTGCCTGATTAGAAAAGCTGGTCCTGAAGTCATTTTTGTTGAATTTTGTACAGACAAGTCCGTTACTACAATTTTATTGTGGTTCTTTAACAACACAGAGAAGTACAACTTCTTGGGCATCAGCATTGTGGGTCAGAGCAACGAAAGGGGGGACGGAGGCATCTACATCGGCTCCATCATGAAGGGAGGGGCTGTGGCTGCAGACGGACGCATCGAACCCGGCGACATGCTGCTGCAGGTCCGAATCCTTAATCTTCTGACTATAGAAGAATGTTTCTGTGCATGAAGTTAAACATTTATTGAATTATGATGAAGCTCCTGCATGAAACTGCGTAGATCTGTGATGTGAACAGTTCATCATTAGCTTGTCTTCTTCAAATCTTCACAACAAGGTGAACGAAATCAACTTCGAGAACATGAGCAACGACGACGCGGTTCGTGTTCTCAGAGAGATCGTGCACAAGCCAGGGTGAGACATTAAGCTTTTGAACTGGACGTGCTCCGGCTCGGTCCGTGTGCTGAAGTTAACTGGTGATTATTTCTGCAGACCCATCATCCTGACGGTGGCTAAATGCTGGGATCCTTCTCCTCAGGGCTACTTCACGCTGCCTTGCAGTACGGACGGAGCATTTTAGCCGCACATCGCACAGAACCTCTCCTCTGTGCTTACTGTCATTCAGTGTTTCTATTTTTATTTGTTTTAATCTGTAGATGAACCGATCCGGCCCATCGACCCCGCTGCGTGGGTCAGTCACTCTGTGGCGATGACGGGGGCTTACCCCCCCTACCCAGGCAGCTCCTCACTCAGCACCATCACCTCCTCCTCCTCCATCACAGAGACTGAACGTAAGTCTTTATAGTTCACTTCAAAACTTATAAAGAGTCAATATCTTACCCGTTGTGGATAGCTTTTTAAACTACCTCACTTTGGACAATTGGAGCTTAAATCTGGACCGATGAGCTAACAGTTCGTCCAATCAGGGCCTGCCATCTTAAAACAACTAAAAAATCTCACAAATTTCATACAGGCTCCACTGAATGCTGTTTTATATTAAACTACACATTTTTTTTATTTTTGTATGTCATTGGTTCATATCGTTTTTATATCACTGGGTGTTTGCAAGCACCCAAAGCACCAGCAGCTAGCTGTAGCACTGTTTGGGCAGCCTGGTGTAATCTCAGCTGCTGAAATAACAAATAGTGGGAATCTTTAGGCACCTCCCAATTTGACGCGATCACATTTCAGAGACGCTGCTATGCCAAATTAAAATGATGCATTTCATTGATTTTAACAATTAAATAACTGCCTTATTTTACAAAATCAAAAACTGATTTATATAATTCATGCCTAATGGAGTGCACAATAACATCATCAAACCCACTGATTCACAGGCTGTCAATCGACACCACAGATAGGCCTGTCGCAGTAAACAATAAATCAATTAATCGCATGATAAATTAAAATTATCAACCTCATTTTCATTTATCGGCTTTATCGTTTCTTCGTGTCTCTCTCTTTCTACTGAAGACACTGGATGACAAAAAGCTCAACTTCGGTGCTCTTCACTGACCCCTCTCTTTCTCTTTAAAATACATTTTAACGATCCAAAATCACATTTTTGGATTGTTAAAAGCAGCTAAGCTGAGAAGCTAAGCTACAAGGTAAGCTAATAGGCTGACCTCGGGGGGGGAAAAACCTCCGTCTTGTCGAAGCTTCAAAATTCACAGTTGAAACCGGTGCCTTCGCGTAAAAAGTTTTTTTCTGCAAAAAGAAGCTGCGAACTTGTTTACTGATTTTTTTAATTAAAAGCTTTGTGTGAAAAATGCTATGTTAAAGAGCTCAAACCACACCGAGCGTCCGCCATTTTGAGAACCGAAGAAAGGAAGGAGCGACAGACAGCCCGTGTCACATTAAGGGGCCTCCCTTCCATTTTTCTTAAAGAGACATGCTGCTCGCTCTCTCACTATCCATCCTTCGGTTCAGACTCTCTTGTACTGCCATCCGTTGGTTGAAAAAAGGTACTACACACAAAACAAATAAACTTAACATTTCATCTTAAATTTGACAATAATTACTAATTATTGTCAGATTTCAAACAATATTATCGTTCATCGCAATAATTTCTGAGACAATTAATCGCCCAGCAAAATTTATCGTGACAGGTCTAACCACAGATGCTAACTTATTGACAATGCCATAGAAAAGCTAACCTGGTTAGCATCATAGTTGTCATTGGAAATAAAACACAAATCAAACATTTCAAAGCTGTTATTAATTTCTTTAAACCGAGAGTTTTCAAACAGCTACCTTACTGCAGGTGAAATACTAATTGTTCACTTTTCCACAGAACTTTGTCTTTGCCAGAGTGTTAATATTGGAGGTCTGGAGGACATTGTCCCGCTTCTGTCTCTGTCTGTCTTTGTCTCTTTAAAAATAATTTTTGACGTCATATTTGTTGCTTTCCTTCTTGTTTTTCACCCTGGTGTGATTTAGTTCAGATGACCTAAAAGACTTATGTGTGTTTTACAGGTTTCGACGACTTTAATTTATCTTTACACTCCGACATGGCCTCAGTAGCCAAGGCCATGGCTTCACCAGAGTCAGGTCTGGAGGTCAGGGATCGCATGTGGCTCAAAATCACCATCCCCAACGCTTTCCTCGGTAAGAAAACGCCAAACAGGGTCTCAAATTAAAATCCGCAGCATTTTCATTAAGTCCGTGTGTCTGGCAGGAAGTTACAGGGCAGTCATTATGCTCGCAGAATTAGAACCGTGTGACCGGTGGGGGAAGAACCCTCACCGTACAAATGTCCAGTCAGAACGGGTTTAATGAGAGTCGCCTGCAGCTGACTCACAGAAAGAGTTACAGAAACAGCAAACAGCAGCATGGTTCAACAACAGCATGGTCCAACAGGAACATGGTTCAATAGGAGCATGGTCCAACAGGAGCATGGTTCAACAGGAGCATGGTCCAACATAAGCATGGTCTTACAGCAGCATTGTCTAA